GATAATAGTTCAAACCTGGTAACCCAGCAGATTCATCCTATTTGTTTTTCGAAGGTTGCAACCATTCTTCTTGCGTTCATTTTGTTGAACTATCACTGAGGTTCTTCCCATTTGCAGATTTATATTCTTCTTCTCTTATTTATTATTATTTTCCACATTATTTTTTCTAAATTTTTTAACAACAAATAGAAAGAAATATTTTCGTATAATTAAAGAAGTTTTCGTAGATAGATGTCGTTTTTCGGGATGAAAGGAAAATTAGGTTGATCTTTAGAATATGGTAACTGGTAGTTTGGCGACATTTTGGAGGCGATAAAGGTTTACCTGGGACTTTGGTATTAATGTGAGCAGTACTCAGTTCCGATTACGCATTATTTTGTGTGAGGGAAATGAGAGATCATGGGATATGTCATGTGATATTAATGGACGAATTACGGTTCTTTAATCGGAAAAGGGGGGAAATCGGGAAAAAATCTGGAAATTTTGTATTTGGCTTTATTCTGTGTTGTGTGAAACAGTGTTCGTTAATTTTTGGATCCCATGGCCCTAACTAAAGTGAATTCGAAATGGGTATTTAGTGGGATTGAAAGGAGTAGTAATAAGTGTTTCTTTAAGGTTGTGAGAGATAGAAGTAAAGATGTTTTATTAAGTTATTTATTTTACCTGGTACCTTGCTGTGAACTACAAGTATGATTTTAAAGATCCTGAAACAGAAATAAGAAAGTTTCGGACACGTAATCAAGATTCTGAAGAAGATTAGGTAAGTTAGTATTTTTAATTATTTGAGGATATTATTTTTATGCATGTTCTAAATGTAAGTGGAAGTAAAGTAATTTGGTATTATTGGGAAAATTGTTATTAGCAATGATTTAGTTTAAAGTAATTAGGATTGTAAGCTAATTTTTATTAATTTAATGTATGTGCTTCTTTAGATTTTAAGTAGTGTTTTTTGAATTTAATTATATTTTAATTAAATGATAGTTGTTTTTGTGAATTTATGTTTGTAGGAATTTGGATATACGTTTTAGTTGAAGTAAAACGTGCATGGAAATAATTTAAATATTTGACACTAAGTATTTGTAATGTTTTGCGGTATGAATTCGTTGGTGACGTTTATAATATAATAGATAATTTAGAGGTAAAAGTTTTGGATATTTTATTTATTTATTTATTTTTGGATATTTATTTTATACGTGGAAATGTTCATATTTGGAAAGGGTATATACTTTTTCGTTATTAGGTAATTTCATATATGTTCTTTTTAACGGGTTTAAAGATTCAGAAAATTGTCATGCATTTTCGTGAAATTTTTCTAATTTATGAGAAAAAGGCAGTGTACATGGATATGGTGAAGAGTGTGCGCAATGCCATTTTTGTGCAATTCTGGGATTTTTTTTTTAAGTAAAAATAAGTCGACGTGTACATAGTTTAGTGATATTTTAATTGAATGATAGTTGTTTTGTGAATTTGATGTTTGTAGGAATTTGGTATACGTTTTAGTTGAAGTAAATGTGCATGGAAGTAATTTAAATATTTGACACTAAGTATTTGTAATGCTTGCGGTATGAATTCGTTGGTGACGTTTATAATATAATAGATGATTTAGAGGTAAAAGTTTTTGGATATTTTATTTATTTTATATGTGGAAATGTTTATATTTGGAAAGGGTATATACTTTTTCGCGATCAGGTAATTTCATATATGTTCTTTTTACCGGGTTTAAAGATTCAGAAAATTGTCATGTATTTTCGTGAAATTTTTCTAATTTATGAGAAAAAAGCAGTGTACATGGATATAGTGAAGAGTGTGCGCAATGCCATTTTTGTGTAATTCTGGGATTTTTTTTAAGTAAAAATAAGTTGATGTGTACATGGTTTATGTGTATGTGTTATTTTGAAAAACGCGTAAGGAGTATGGTATTGTGCACTTTTTCCCAATTTTGCAGTGAATATTTGTCATGATTAAGCAGTTTTGTTAGATAAAATTTCTAGCATAAGTGTAATTTCGGCTAGTAGATTGTTGGAAGAAGTGTTCAGTAGATAAAAGAAAAGAAACATGTCTTTACTTCGTGAAGACAAAATGGCGGCGGGAAAAAAAAAATAGAGGGTTGCTGTAGGAGAGTTGGTCGCCAAATTTTCGCCAAGTTACCATAATGTAAAGATCAACCGAAAATTAATAATATATTAACATATCTGTTATATATATTACTCAATAAGCTAATAAGGTAAAATCCTAGTATACGGTGCAGCCTTGGCGTGACTTTGAAAATTATCGCCAACACCAAAAATGATCTAAAGAACGTCTATATATATATACACATAGTATATGTACTATACACACATAGTATAGTATATACACTAGTATATATACTATGGTATATACTATGTTTAACGATATATATTTCTTTGAATGACCGGTTAAGTACTCATTGTATATGTCCCACTTTTACTGCTCATCATAAAGTCGCCAAATCCTATGTGCACCGGATACTAGGATTAAACCGCTAACAATGCTTACTGAGCACTCTTTTAATGGCACACTTCTGTTATTAGGACCGGATTCAGAAATGTATGTATGTGTATAGACACATGCATATATATGTGCATATATACACTCATGTCCAAAATTATCTTTACATATCCAAAAATGATGATATTCAATGAAATATCGAATCAATGTGATCCGTATTTGCAGGGAATGTGTGAAAACCAAGCCTAATTAGAATTATCCAATCAAAAGTAATCAAACGGTTTGTGATATGCAAATCTAGGCGTTACGTCATCCAAGGGTGAATCAAGCGCTTTGCGCAAACTGAATATTTGAGTGAATTTCTGCATGCTATCGTTTGATTTCAGTGTGTAGGTACTCAAAGCGGTTTGTTATGGCTTCGAAGTATCATTTGGAAGAATCTGTAAAGTGGCGAATTATCGGCCGTTTAGAAGCAGGGCAGTCAATCATGGAAACAGCCACATGTCTGAATATTTCAAGACAGACAGACGTCTCTAAGATAAGCTATGGAAACAGTTTCAAAATGATGGAAGTGTTGTAAGGAGGCCTGGAAAAGGTCGGAAACAAATGATAACTGCTTCTGAAGATCGGTATCTGGCATTAACTGCCCATAGTAACAGAAAGGCTACTGCTCGCCAGTTAAGTTCAGAGCTTGCAGCCGCCACTGGAACTGTTGCATCACGGCAAACAATATACAGAAGGCTTGATGAAAAGGCCTTTATGCCAGAAAGCCAAGGGTATGTGTTTTACTGTCTTCACAGAAAAAGAGGGATCGCTTTAATTGGTGTAAAGAACATCAAAACTGGACTGAATATCAATGGTCCCATGTTCTCTTTACTGATGAGTCGCGGTTTAGTTTAACTGGTGATTCTAAACGTGTTTACATCTGGAGGGAGTCAGGAACACGAAATGATACCTCGAACATTGTGGAACGTGACCGTTTCGGTAGTGGAAGGTGTGATGGTATGGAGTGGAATAATGATCGATGGACGTACGCCCCTACACGTGTTCAGCAGCGGATCTGTGACAGGCCAGATATATCGAGATGAGGTCTTAGATCCTTATGTAAGACTTTTCAGGGGTGCATATGGACCTGACTTTTTATTTATGGATGATAATGCCCGTCCACATCGAGCAAACCTCGTTGATGAATTCCTTGAAAGTGAAGACATTAAGCAAATACCTTGGCCACCAAACTCTCCTGACCTTAACCCGATAGAGAACTTATGGGACTACCTTGGAAGAGCAAGTGCACGTATACATCCTCTTCCTAGAGATGTAAATGCTCTGAAGACGGCATGGCTGGAAGAATGGAGATTAATTCCCCAAACTGTGGTTAACAGCATTATTTCCAGCCTTAAAACACGTTGTGATATGTGTGTACAAGTCAGGGGAGATCATATTCCATATTAAATTCGTAAGACTTAATTCTTTTTCTGAATCATTCCTTTTTTTCTTAACTCTCTTTGTCACACTTTATTACCATTTTTAATGTTTCATGCTACAATTTTATATCATTTGAGGTGATCTTCAATTTTTTCTTTTGCATTTATGTGTCATCATGTTATGTATGATTCCACGAAAATTCATTAAATTATAAGTCATAGTCTCTGAGAAATCCGTGAATTTATGCATGTAAACATAATTTTGGACATGAGTGTACATCAACACATGCATACATTTCTAAATCTTGTCCGGGTAATGGCAGAGTACCTTGAGTAATTAAGAACATGTTACATCTTCATACAGATGCTAAAATTAACACAAACAGGTGAGCATCCTCTCCTTTTAAAAGGTGTTTTGTCTCAGTTGAGTCTCAAACATGTCAAGAGAATTTCTTTCCGGTTTGTTGTGAATTCTCAGCTTTCCACTTTTGATTTCACACTTCTCATCTGGCATTTAAAGGATATTTTATGACCAATATAAAAGCTGGTATCTGAGAAGGGAATAAGTGTATATAACTACAGTTTTTGTTGTGATGTCCACCAGTTCATTACCTTTCATATCATCGCATCCAGCAATAAAGAATTTAATATTCTTCACCTTTCAACCTCCAATTAAAATCTAGTGGGTCAATGATTAAGGGCTTTTATGGTTGAAAAACTTCAAAAACCGCAGTGAATCTGCATACATTATGAATTTTTTTTCTAAGTAGCTTAAATGAGATAGCAAGTAGTACAGTAAATACACGTGAGGCGAATAAAATACTGATGAAAATATATTTGTTCCAACTTTCTTAAATTAAGCATCATATGTTGCAAAAAAATTTATCTAAGTCAGAAGATGGACTACATTTTTATAAATAAATTGAAAAATATTTAATCTACTACATTCCCCTAAATAAATTTCAGTACTTTCTAATTAATATGAATAAATCATCTAACAGAATTTTACAAGTTCCCTTATCTAATTATTACAACTACAATTCAAAATTTAATAATAAATTTTGTCAACATTTTCCTTTTCTTTTAAGAAAATAAGAATGCACAAACCTTTCAAAGCTAATAAATGTTCTTTCTCACGATTATCCATAGTGTTCAGATAACATACTCCATAGGAAAAAAAATATTTTCAAACTTTTTAACTCCCTTATTTTCCTGACAGAAAAGCAAACAGATGTCTTGTTTTGCATCTGCTAAGTCTTTCCGCCCGCAGGGCAAAATATCAAGCTAAGGTGGAAAGAAAAGGCAAATCAAAAGAAAATCAATGAGATACATATATTCATGGACCTTATAAGAAATAAACTAACCCAAACGGGTTTTCTCCCTCGTCGAGCGTTCCGGCTGTCACTGATCAATCGGAAGAGAGGACGACTGCAGAAATTACTTGTGCTATGGGGTATATTGTAAGAAAGCGTGTAGCGCTATTCACATTATTTTAGTTGACTCGGTCTAACCCCCAGGGTGCCTGGGCGCCATAGCCCTACCCCTCATCGAATAACATGATAAAAGTTTCGAATTATGAGAAATATAACTGAATGTGCTAAATAATTAAATGAGCAAGAGTTTAAATTCATAATTGCTAATAGTTAAATACAATTTTTTCCTTAAGTACCTAATTACTAATCCATACATAATTAACTATTTCACAGAAGAATACATGTACACACAAGAGAAACAAAATACGAAGTGCGACGCCTTAGTGCCACTAGTAAAAACAAAAAGCAATCAGGAGGAAAAAAGAACAATATACAATAAAGAATCTGAGCAACAATTTGCATAACACATATACAAAATTACACATTACTAACATTTAGGATCGCCCTTGGGCGTTTACTGAAATTGGGGTCCCTAGTATCATAACAATAGTTAACAACCACAGGATTGTCCAGAAGTTCCTGTTTATCATAAAATGCCCTAGATAGGCGGCAATAAAAATCACAAAGATCCTCTATTCTTAACTCTTTACGAATTTGGCTATTCCGAATGTACCAGGGGGCATTACATATCAATACCCGTTTAAATTAAATTTCTCAAATTTTTGCACAAAATTTAGATATTATCAGCATAACTAAAATTATAAACATGATGTTTAGTGGATTTTTATTTCAATAGAAAGAATATTTTTTAGAAATAATATTGAATCTACTATAGAAATTAAACAAGAAATTTTTCTTGCAATTTTTATGCTTTTTATTGGCGTAAATAAGTAAAAAATACTAAAATATTTAAAAACGAATTTTGAAAGTTTTGTTTAAAATTCTAAATTGTGCTGCTTTTTTAAATTATAGACACAATTTCTATAAAGGAATTTTATTTTAATTATATTTCATAATACATCATAGTGACAAACACTTTTGACATCTTAATTTTTATACATTTAATTCTAATATTAAAATTGTATTTAACCGTAATAGTTAATTTTGTTGTATTTTATAGTGATTATTTTTTTAAATTTATTTTTAGTTCTGCATAAGATTTTTTTTTATTTACTGTTAATTTAATTTATTAACCCAAAGCGGCAATAGCCTAGAAAGGCTGTTAGTTTCGAAGCGGCATTTTGCGCTGTTTTACTCTAAATGTCCGTGTGTCCTCTCACATTGTTGTTACCAAATATTATCGCCCTGTATTATATGTAAAGAAATTAAATAATGAAGAATCTGCATGAATACATGTATGTTTCTCGCACTGTGACAAAAACGACAGTATCTAGAGCCATCAAATTTTGAATAATGTAATCCTCCACCCGAACATGGGCACCTGGACTGCCGAATTTCGAATTTGTTTTAATCTATTTCATATTTTGTAAAACTTTAACGAATTTTCGATTAACAAACTCAACGAGTTC